CCCTCAGCCACTTTGCGCAAGGCCTCATCCAGCTTGAGCTGCTGCTGCTGCAGGAGTCTGTCCTTGTGTCCCAGCTCCTTCTGTACAGACACACACAGACACACCACAGGCTGCTGTCACTCTGGACGCTTCGTGTTGTCTCCCATTTCAGAGTCGGGGTTAAAGCAGGGTTACAGCTGTGCCAGTATAGGTTATGTATTGTCACTGAGTCTTTTCTTTACCATGTGTTCTGAGCAGGTGACTTTTTAGTTGGGCTGTGGGAAATAGAAATTGGAGTTTAACCACGGATCTTCCTCCCTTTGCCTGTGAGGTACACAGAGGTAGAGATCTGCAGTGTTCTCTAGCGACGACAGTGTGGAGAGGCAGGTTGGAGCAGGGGAATCAGGCTCAGGCAGGTTTACTGCCCGATTACTGACAGAGGGCTGTGCTGAGCACTGCATGAAGAGCGAGAGGGAGAGATCCAGAGTATCTGCTACATGGACTCAAGGACAAAGAGACAGAATAGAGTCTTCCTCTCTGTTTATAGGACGAGGAAGAGGAAGAAGTGTCATGGGACAGTCCTATACCAGGGGTGTGAAGTATTTCAGTAGTAACAAAATCACAGAACTAAGAGGTGAAGGGACAGGACAGGAGACGAGCACACTGTGTTAAGAGATTCGGCCTTCAGAAACTCCCTCTCCGCCCAGATGAAGAAACTGGGCTGCTAGTGAGCTCCAGCTCCTGGCTGGTCTCAGGCTGCTGTCTGAAGAAACCTCAGGCATTTATGAGCACAGTGGAGACTGACATCAAATTTAGGAAGGAATTATATATTAAAGGGAATAATTATTTCCTTCTAAGAGTGTGTATTTTTGGGATGCTTTATCTGGTTTATATAACTAGTATTAGCAAGGGTTTCAAAGAACAGTGTTCTGTAGAGGGTGGCCATGAATCACTGTGTCTCAGGTTTCAGTAAGGCGGGTCCATCTTCGAGAGACTCAGGGACTCACAGTCTTGGTTAATACTTCACAGAAAATAGATTGTGTATCTTGTGTTCTGTCATTACTAGGAATATTGTTTGGCTTGTACGTTTGTCTATTTGTTGATTACGCTGCTATTAAACTGTGCCAAGTTTGTGGATTGCTTGTCCACAATCCTAACTATTGACTGTAAGGGTATTTAATCAGCCTTAGTTATTTTTCTTTGTTTCTAATATTTCTGCTTTCACAGCCCACTAT